CCAACATATTTCATTGTCATTTTTACGGGTCTGCATGGAAGGTCCCGATCACGCTTTGCACTAAAAGCAGCAGCCACGAGTTATATTTCTTTATTCATGCAGACTGGAATTGTGAATTATGCAAAATTCAAATAGCAAGGCACAAAAGTATGCAAAGCAATGACCCGGAATTACGCTTTATTCATGCCGCCGACTAACGCTTTTCCCATAATGTTACGCTCAATATTAAGTCATAACGACCTCACTTCACATTATGCAAATCTAATAGAAGTACATGTACTTAGACATTGCAGCATGCAGACCCCCTTTTTGAATGAGTTCTAAAAATAAAAGCCAACTCACGGTCAAAGTCCAATGTTCTCTTGTCTCAAGGTCCTTCAGGAACACACACAGGAATAGGACAGGTACACAGGATAGCCAACAGATCCTCCAGCTGGAATTTGGACAGGAACACAGAAAGGTCCCACAGCACACACAGGAACATGGTCGGGTACAGTCTCAGCTTCCCATAAGCTAGGGTAAAAAGAAATAAACATTCAGAAAAATCTCATGCCAAATTTACATACTAGTACACCAATATTCACACATCATGCATGGCATCATAATATTCACAACATTTCGTACAAAACCTGCTTTGATTGGGGGAAGAGCACAGCCAAAAGTGAACATAGAATATTCTAATCACAAGAAAATATCTCTCACACATGATATCACATGTAACGTTACATATCACAACACATTTGTTCTAAAAGCTGCATTGGTTGGGAAAAGAACACATGGAACATCGTTAATGTCAGGCAAAAGAAGAGAACAGCCAACAGTGAACAGACATGTAGAATATCATGACCAAACAACAATCACACTTCTTGATATCACATAAGATACATCACAATCCAAATAAGTACATGTACATGATAGATAGAGAATTCAAAATGTTTTACAGCAAATTACACATTTCTAACACATGTCAAGTGTACTGTACGTACTTCAGACAATTTCTAAATACTAGTACTAACGTTACTAGTAAGGTAATAAAAGATATGGAGAAAAACATGTCATGTCAAAAATGTATTAATGTATCAACATCAAATAAACCATCATCATCACATGCAGATGTGTGTCATGATTACATTTTTAACAATCATTGCACACATGCAATCATTTCAACATATTATAAGATGTCAACTTCAAGTTTTCAATGAAGAAATTGGTTGATGAAAGAAGAGTCATCCTGCTGCTCATTGATATCAAAGGACTTCGAGATGCCCCTTCGTGTCTACAAACCTACTGTGACTCAAACCCAGGACCACAACGCCACTGCCATAATTTTGTTCTTCCCAACTTGTCAATTTGTGTTCCCAAAAAAACAGCAACATGACTACAATACCTCTGAAAACATTTTTCTTGGTTTGGAGCTCCTTGATGTATTTCAATTCAGAATCTGGAACAACATATTACTAGTATAATAGGAGCAAGAAGGCATACAAATGATCATACATGTATTCAAGTACTACTACTAGTAATGTTCGCTCTTGTCATCAATTTGTCTAAAGTTGACATGGCACAAATAAAAATTATAATCTCAGTTGTGTTCCCCAAAAACAACTAACATGTACATGACTACGGTACCATACCAAGTATTTTTGGTCTGTCATCAGATCTAATGTAAGGTTAGTTTGTCTAAGGTGTACACGACAAATATAAATTTCAATCTCAGATTTTACCAAAGTCAAGTTGGAGAGTCTGTTTGGGATTTACCGCTCAACAACTGATTAACATTCATTAGAAAAATCTTGACCTGTTTTAGACCAAAACACCGCCTCTCTTACAGCCCTTAAGCCTATAGTGGATCCTTGGTGCCTTTTCTACCTGCAAATTTACCTTCCTGATCACTATGTGACGTATATAATTACCCTGAATACGGTCTTTGCAGCTTTGATACATAAAACAACTCTGTTACCGCCCCCCTCCCCACTCGAATTTACCGTTCGTCTGTCTCCCCTCCTTACAAATATATCACCTTATCCATGTCATCCTCTACACAAACGGTACTATCGTGTCCCCTCTGTATGCTATCGGCCTCGGAATACTTTGCGTTTAGACTGAAACGCATAGAATTTGACCAAAACACACAGGACAACAACAAACCACGTTTCAAGCAAAGCTGTTCAGGTCAGGGGTCACTTAAAGGCGCCCCTCAGCGGATTACTTGAAAGTGCACCTCTTAAGATTGGTGTCGTTTTCCTATTTCAGTATCATTAATAGCACCCTCATTGAATAAAATTTGATTGACCCGTGTTCAAATAATTGGTGGTTACGGTGCAAAAAAAAAATTGAAAAAACAGTTGAATAAATGAATGTGCTTTTTTTATCGACCACGCAAATGCGCCTCCATCGGTTACTTAACTAAGTGCAGCGTTAACACGTGGGAATAATTGCCGAAAGTTGTTATCGAAATTCTGTCTTTTTGCTTCATTTAACGTAGAGGAGATTTATCTATAATGGTCAGGAGAGTATCTACGACAATTTAAAGTACAACTTACCACCAAAGCGGGCGTGGCGCGTCTTCCTGGGCGTAATTGTTACCCGCTCGTTCTTCCCGTCCATGTACACTCGCCATCTTGGAAAGCTAAAGGCGTGTTTCACGCACGTGTGTCATGCCACCTGTAAATCATAAGCAAAATTTGCATTCGATAATCAAGTTTAAGATTAGATTTACGACAAGCCAATAGACAATCATCACACATACAGACCTGAAAAATACAATGATTTAATTATGACTTTCATCTTACAAATTCGAATTTTTCAATTTTTCTATCATCACCATTCAGGAAAACACACGTTAGTAATTTTCCAGTAAATGATCTTTCTTTGACCCATTTATCTTTTGATTGCGATAACAATATTTTCTAGCTAGTAGGTAACAACTTAGAAACATTACAGCTAGGAGTAATATATTACATTTGCGTACTTAGATCTTTGAGTATTCATTTCTCTTTATCAACGATTATTTCTTCTCATATCATAGTATCAACGCTAAGATCACAAAGTTACAAAGTATGGCCGAATATAACCGAAACGTCCGCAATTTGTGATTAAAAAGACGCTTCTGGCGAAGCAAGTCTTAGATTTTCAAACGTTATTCAATAAAATGGTTATTATTTGATAGGTTTTAGCAAGGACAGCTCCTGGGTTTTATGAGCATTGATTCAATTATAAGGAGGACCAATCAAAACAGCGGATTTTGTCTTATAACGAGGCTGAAAAATATGCATACATTAAGTCCAGGTGCCGCATTACGTCATGCGATGTAGTTACGCAATCCTCCAGGCGTGTAGATATGCTGGCCATGGGTTAAATATAGGCAGGAATGGGTGTAAACATTGGCGTTTAAAGTAAAAATAGCGCAAGCAATTACAGAACTAGTTGTTGCAATATTTTCTATATGATCCATTATTCACGTCTAGTTGTTTTCTGGACGGTTAGAACTGTTTAGTAACGAAAAATGAAAAAAAAAAACATCAATAAAACGCATAAACTTTTCGTTCCAGTTTTTCCACCAAACCCTTTCTAGAAGTGTAATAATTCATACCTGAGGTGTCCAGAAGAATCTTTCCATCCCTGGCGAACGTGCACCCTTCTTTACCAAGTTTACTCCCTCACGTTTAATGTTAATTGGATGCTGTGATGCATCCACACGTGTCAATAAGGGCCTCTAGCAGTTCGCGGAATTATTGCAGGTACTTGAGAGATTTGTACATGCAATAATTTCACCGACTGCTAGAAGTCGCTTTTGATACATGGCGCAGAGGGTCATTAACCGATGTATCCTTGATGCTGATTGGTTGTCATCGTGTTTACGTGTTTGAGTCGTCGAGCCTGATTGGATACTAAATGGAAACAATTACGACGCCTGCCTCTTTGACCAAATATGGACAACAGACTCAAGCAAGCCGATTTACTTTTCATGTAAACAACTAAAGTTACGATGGATTTTCGGACGAACGGGACTATTTTAGGCAGTTATTTCCCCCCAGATAAGCTACAGAGTTGTAAGAACTGCCTCTACAAAGAAAAGGAGCCGATTTATGAGGTTAGGAGAGGTGAAAATGCTCGGCAACGGCGTAATATTACTACGAACAGGGGAGGGGGGCATTATGTGGGGATGGCTTTCAGCACCAAGGACAGGGATAGCTTCAGTTTGAACCTAGTGTTTTCTTCCTGACAACAAACTGAAGATTATCACACTGACGAAGAATGTACGAAGGAAATCAATTTGTGAATTTTTCGGTGTCATCCTCAATATCATATCAATGGAAACAGAGTCTCTGCCAGGCGTATAACTATGGCAATCCCCAAGCTGTTACGATTTTACCTTACACCATGCATCTGCTTGGTTCCCATTCATATGGTAATGAGATCGACACGAAAAATTCACTTCTGCAAAGACTGTGACCACTTCTGCAAGCGATCAGATTATCGCAAAATCACGTTTTGATGTATAAGGCCATGTTGATTTGATTATATGGATGACATCCTCCGGGAACCCCAAAATTGATGCGCGCGTGTGAATAAAAAAAAAAGTTTTGCAAAAAAAAAAGAAGTTGTTTTCATTTTGAAATGTACACGGTCATGAGGGTTGAACAAATGGGACAGAATATGGTTTGGCGAATAATCTAGTCTTCAAGTTCATTTCTTTACAATTTCGTCTTTTTTCGTTTGATTTTAGCATTCTACGACATTGGTATAGTTTTTAATTATTTTTTTTTTTAACTTACGGTATATCTTTGCTCATTTTGCAACTGTTTTGTACGATTTACAGTATGGTTGAAAACTTTTTTTTTTTTGGAAACGGCCGAAAATTCATGCGCGCGCGGATGTCATCCATATAATCAAATCAACATGGCCTAACTTAAGAATACTAGTAACAAACAATATCGAATGGTTTATTACAAACTCATCGCTTAAAAATATAAATTAACAAAAATTGCAACAGAAAATTCTTGCTTCATTTTTAATTTTCAATGATTCCAGATCTTTGCCAGGGCAAATCTATCAACCTTGATCAGTACTAACTTACATGAATTACTAATTACAGTGCTCTTATTATAACATATGCCTGCAACGCAAAGAGATTCATACACGGTGATGATGATACACCTATGGCATATATCATAGGTTTGCCAATGCCTACGCATCTCCACTTACATGCAGAAGTGATGAAATTTGACTATTCGTGACTGACCCTCTAGGTGTGATGCATACCTTCACATCTCTTCAATTTGACTTTAACCAATTCTTACCTGATTCTACCATAAGTGATGGAGACAACACACAAAATATACAATACTGTACCGTGCTATATATTCACAATCTTACTTCGAAGGCTTCCACCAGCCTTCAGTATTCATTCTCTGACAAAGACTAGAGTTGCATATTATTAGATGAAAATGTGGGTACATGTAAGTCCGATTCTTGAAGGTATTGGCTTCAGAGTTTAATTGTTCATTCCGTCTACGAAGGTTTCTCCCAACAGAGGAGGACTTCCATGAGAGAGTTTGATGAAGTTTGTTCAGGAGGGTTTGAGGTAGCTCCTGTCACCGTCGGGGTACCTCTGTCGGAATCGGTCCACCATCTCAGGGTCCACTAAGTGTACTCCATCCAGCTGGTTCCCAAGGGTCACCCTGGAAAACATTCACAACAGGTCAGCCATCCTGGTAAACAGCATTTTTTAACAGGTTGGACAACATTGGTGACCTATATACATGTATTTTATTCAGAATCAAAAAAAAACTGGGTTCAGATCCCTGAGGGAAAGGTGCTTACATGTAACTTGACTTGCTGTAGTTAGGATTGTCCCTTGGATAGTAAATTAATTAGAGGTCAGTGTTTGGAGAGAGCCACAAATCAAACACTTTAAACACAAACACAAGTACATGTATCAATAAGACCGGTGCAATGGCCAAGTGGGTGGAGTGCTCGCCTTGCATTCGGTAGGTCGTGAGTTCGATCCGACCGAGTCATACCAAAGACTTTAAAAATGGTACATACTGCTTTCTCTTCTTAGCACTCAGCACATTTGAGATGGAGTATGGGGTGTTAAACACACACCACTACCAGTGGACTAGCTGCCTGCTGTAGTGACACAACTGTGTGGCCCAGGGCTACAGAAACGGAGATGGGCACCGCCATATGCAACCATGCTAATGGTTGGTTGGGAAGGGAGTGTCTAAAACTGGGGGGGTAAGTCCACCATGCTAATGGTTGCGGGGTGGATTTTAACTTTTTTAAACATGTATCAATAAGAATAGGGGTGTCTTCACTATTATCAACCAAAAACAGGGCCAAAGGAACAAAGGTAAAGTCCAGACTAACCAGTTGGGCTGAACGTTGTGCATCCTGCCAAACAGTTCAATCTTCCTGCGCCCTGGGGCCAGTCGCTCGATGATGCCGTACACTTCATCAGGCTTGTGGCTGGTCTCACGTACCTGTGCAGCCACACAAAGAGGCATTGCTCAGTAATTTCTATACACTGATCATCTGTGAAATATTTTTTTTCAGCACAATGAGTAAACTGGCTCAAGGTTTTGACACCATATCAGCTGCCTGTAGCTTTACACTGTGCCAAGTTGTAGAAATAACCAAGCGGTGCTAGCCTCCTTACCTCAGCAACAATGACATCAGCATCCAGTCCTCTGTTGGTCCAAAATGGAGTACCTTTCGCCCCAACCTGACAGGAAAAACAAATGAATGCAAAAACGAAGCACAAGGACAACATTACTACCAATGCTCACACAGTTTTAGTCAGAAAACAAAAAGTAGTCAGATTTCCTCTTAGGGTGTGATTACAAAGAAGGTGAGATGGGATTATGGCATTTATGGATATATTGTACACATCTCAGCTTTCTTGAGGCAAAAAGATTGTAGATTTTTGCTGATGGTTCAATCTGTGATAACCTTGATGAAAATTCAATGCCTTGAGCCTTCTATTTTGGTGGTGTTAGTAGCCAGTGTTTGTACTCACCAGACAGTGTTCCTTGCCATGGTTGAGCCAGTGTCCGGTCCGTCCAGTCCGGATGATCCGCTGCAGCTGGTTTGTCTTCACCCAAATCAGCTCGTCCACCCGCTCGTACCTGTGGGTGGGGAAACAGAAACATTTCTCATACAGTGTGGGGTCGTGTGACGCAACGGCAGGGTGCTCGACTTAGAACCAAGAGGTCCCAGGTTTCAGTCCTGACATGTCATCGATCTTGTGCCCTTGGGAAAGGCACTTAACACGACTTTCCTCACTTAACTCAAGTGAAAATGAGTATTGTCTGTCCTTAATTTGTTTCTATGTGTGGGACACAACACCAGCAACAGCTGCCTTTGTCCCACATGTAGTGCACTTTTGTAATTCCAATAAATCAAATCAAAATCAATCAAATCAGACAGTAGCAGGGGCTCCCTACATTGTCACCAGTAAAGACAGTGCTATGATTCAGCGCCTACACTGTCTTTCAACCACCATTGTCTAAGAAAAGGCCCTCTTTGCACAGACTTTGCAAGTAAATGTTTCCCCGTAGTGAATTCCTCCTATCTTGATACTTGACAAACTGACTGATACCTGTAGAAGTACAAATTACAGAACAGTCATGATGAATCGTTACAATCAGTACTTACCCCCACAGTTTTAGACACTCCCTTCCCAGCTCCATGGCTCTGTAACAGACGTACAACTTCAGTGTCCTTATATCAACTTGAAGGTAAAAATGAACAATATACCCACAAAAGTAATGTTTGTATCAAGGACAAATAACACACTTAATTTCATTGTTCAGTGTTACTGTACAAGTTCAGGATGCAGGAGTTTTTCTTTTACACAACCAAATTTCCTCACCTTAAGTGCTGTCGCTTTGGTGTCTATCAGACACCTTCCTTTTGTGTAAAAGAAAACTCCTGTATCCTATACTTTACCAACCCAATGAAACTATTTTCGGATGTGCAAGTTCAGACATTCAGGAAATGTTGTACGTGTATTTTGGTATCAAAGGAGTTGAAGATATAAAATGTAAATCGGATAGGAGGAAGAAAAAGAGGAAGTCGTATTTCTGCTCTCACCTGCCGGTGACCCAAAGGAAGATGTAACCCTCGTCCTGAATGGCTGATACATTCAGGTTCCTCATCTCATCATCCGTCATGGTGCCGTAGGGCAGGTCCATGTGGATGTCCCAGGGGGGGTCAGCCATCACCACTGAAAACTTGCCCAGAACCTCCATGTCGATGCGGCGAATGTCACACTGGACCCACTGTTGGAAAGACAAAAAAATAAACAAAGTTTGAACATGAGAAACCTGACTGTACATATAATACTTAATATCGGGTGCCTTTGAAGCCTTCTTATTTGGTAACCCTTCCACAATATATATGTACATGTATATTCCATATACATGTATATATTTCCTCACATACTGTATTATATCCAATTGCCCTTGACCTCTGACCTCCAAAACATTAATTGCTATTATTATCTTGATTGAGTACTTTATTATGCTTGGTTGTATTTTATATTGATAACTGATTGATTTTAGCTTAATCTTTACTTGTTAGTTTACTGTATTAGTATGTCATTGTGTATGTTTAATCTTTGTATTGTTTGGCGCCCGAAATCAGCTATGCTGCCTGGGTGGCCAGTGTATTGTATCGTCGCAATCGAATTAAATAAAATAAAAAAAATAAAAATAAAAACCCTTCCACAAAAATTAACTAATTAATAGAAAGGTAACATTTGCAAAGCTAATGCATAATGTTTACCTTCGCATATGGTCTGCTCTTAATTCTTACTCAAACACATTCATATACATGGTGACAGGAGTCTAAATCCCTCCTGCTATAAAATTGCAACATGATGCAACCCAACACTAGTTACCATGGTGACAGATGTCTGGTTCAGGTCATTGACCATATTGGTTTGGAGAAGAATAAGAGACTGAGCAAAAACAATATGTTTTCCTTCGGCAATTATAGTTTGTACACTAGAAACCTGACTGAACAACAGAAAAAAAGATACAATGATACAGTTTACCTGTGATGGGTACAGAATATGTGCTGAGTTCTTGGGCTTGACAGCCTTCGCAAGAGCAGCTTTTTGCTCCTGGTCCAGTTTGGCATCTCCCTCAGGGAACTCTATTTCATAGTGGACATACTGGAGGATGGAACACAATCATTATGCATACATTTAGTACCACTGATTGATTTAGATTTTGAAAATATTTTTTTCATCTATTCATAGAAGAACAGAAATTTCAGAGTTACAGAGTGGGTTACTGTGAGAAGATATAGTTACCTTGCATGTGTCCATGTGGAAACATGTATTGAGGAAGGAACAGTCTCCCAGAGATTCTAAAAACACAGCAAAACATATTTCTTGTAAGCTGGGCTAGACCAATTTAATTTGTAGGTTCTTACACTTAAAAAAAAGATATACATGTACATCCATATACTAAAACATCCAACTTTACATTCATTACAAGTCTTACAAAGTCAGCACTGTGATAGTAGATCATGATTTGACACAAATGTACAATGTTTCATTTGATAATATTGGAAGATACAACATGCATGTATACCTCAATTACAGAAGCAAGGGGCTATCACCTGGTTGGAATGTGTAGGACCATGTAACAGAAAACTTACCATCAGTGTGGTCCTTGATGATTTTCTTGAAGTGAAGCTGTGGACATATGAGAAACCAAGTTAAACAATACCTACATGTAACTCTATTTGGGATGATATCACACACATTTTTGAAAGCCATTTCCTAATTTAGCATCCAGTTATTATTCGTAAGTTTTAGTTGAAACACTACTGGTAGTGTCTGATGCAATCACAACTTCAAAGTACCTGGTACCGACAATACGTCAATAAAGATAAAAAATAAAGCTACTGCATCACTGCATCTTAAAAGCCATTTCCTCCTTTGTACAACACATGAAAGGTGTAGAGAGCCAGTGATTGACATGAAGATACAAGTAAACACCTACCCTGTTACAGGCATGGTTCTCCCTCCTCTCCTTCCTGCACTCTTCCTTTGTACCATGTGGGCAGAACTCCTGGACCTGGGCTCCTGTAACCAGCAACAACACCTGCTAAAACTTCACACAGTGGCACGGGAGGAGCACAGCCTGGGTACCTCACTTTAAGGAGTGAGTATGAGAGCTCTGGTATACAATATGTTGGCAGCCTGGGGCTACAATAAACAAATAGTGCTTAATCCAGATGCAACATTGCAAGGTACATCTCCAGACTGTATTGCAAGGTACCTCTCTAGACTATTAGTATTAATTTAGTATTGTTAACTTAAAAGCAATTACAAAATGCTGTTTTTTTGTGTGCCATAACCACTTTTAACAGGAAAACCTACCTCCTTGTGATTTGAACTTCTCTACCAGAGACTGCTCCTGAAAGGTGGACAATATTCTGTTTCAGAAGGAAGTTATGTACATCTAGGCTCCTTTCTTACTATTGCATAATGCATAATGCACATGTAGTTTGATAATGTTGAACAAGGGGGAATGTAGCCTAAACAATGACAAAAGGGTACCAGTACTACCGGAAGTACTAATTTCTATCTTCAGAAAACAACAAAGTCAACCGAGTTTCTTACCTTTGCAGTAGGTTTACTAAGAAGATCGAATATCTCCTCTCCCATCTCCTTTGTCTACATAGGGAAGAAGCACAATGTGTGGCAACAGTTCTAAAACACTGATACATGTATATTCTACATGGTAGGAAACAACACTAGTAGCAATTACATGTGAGAAATTTTCATCACTATCAATACATGTGAGGATTGGATCTACACAATGTCATAAGCATCAGATACTAGTAAGCTTCAGATACTCATGAACAAATTGTACACAGTACACACAGAAGAATTGCATACCTCTTGTTCCTTTATGGTTGGCATAGACAGGAGACTCTGTAATGTACAGAAAAAAACATGCATCAGATATACTCTGTTATTGCATCAGATAATATTTCAATAAAAAAAATGTCTTAAATATACACCATTTACAGTAACAAAATATGTACCAGTTTAGCATTTCCTTATTTTTTCTAAAATCTGAGATGTAACAAGTGGTATAGTTAGCTCACCTCAATACTGTCATCACCCAAGTCTTCCTTCTTCTTACTCACTGCTTTGGTCACACGCTCCTCTGGTGCAGGGGAATCTCTGCAAAATTTACGAGCAGTTCTGTCAATTTCCATTAAAAAAAAATCAAACACCTTTAAAGCTGTCAATGTTATGTTAGAAGCAAAAATACCATAATAGTAATAAAAATGTAGTAAAAAGTCAGAAACTCTTACGTTTCTCTTTTTCTCTTCACACCAACACCTGATTTTTCGGAGACCTCTGCTCCTGACTGTAGAAGCTCATTGCACATGGCTTTCAACTGTGGTGATATACAATGTATGGAATAACATGCAGTGATACACACCAACTTTGTAAAGGTGAGATTGTCTTCTAACCATGTGAAATGTACCCTGGATGCCAAACTCGTTTTGGCCGCTAGCAATTTCCTTCGGCAGCCAAGAGCCCGTTGCCCGAGGGTCTGAATTACCGCTACGGGGAGACTAGCCCGAGGGGAGTTTGGCTGGCCCTTTCAACGTTCTAGGGCCGGACAAACCCCTCGGGCTCAACTCACCCATAGCAGTAATTTAGATAGGCGGGCGAAGGGCTCCTGGCTGCCGAAGGAAAATGGCTAACGGCCGAAACGAGTTTGGCATCCAAGGTATGTGAAATGTGGCCTGAAATCTGGGAGGGAAAGATGTCAGAAGGATGCAATTTGATAGTCATGATAGTATACAAGACTCAGTAGTAACCATCCTTAAACATAGACAGAAAATGGCACAGACTATCTGGCACATGAGAGACAGATACATGTCCATAAAGCTATGCTGGATCCAATTGAGTAACTAATAAGAGTCTCTGACCTTGGAATGGTCGAGTTCCGTCACTACTATGCATGATGTCCCAGCATCTGTCACGCTGTTCTTTATGCTGAAAGTAGAAGAAATATAGATTATGAATAAAAAATATAGATTATGAATAAAAAAAACCGTATTGATAAAAAAACATTCTACTCAACATGTGAACAGTGAACAAATCTGATTAAAGTTGTGAGGGTTGGACATACACTATCAACTCCTGTGCCGCAAATTTCTGCAGTAGGCTCTCCACACATGCTTGTGAAACATCCTTCTCCAGATCCTACAGGATGAACCAGAGAACAAATGTCAGTGAAAACGTATCTCCACAAAACACAAGTATTGTTGGATCTTAGAGTGCATAGTCTAGAATGCATAAGACATAAATGTTTACAAAATTGTAGGAATCCCAGCTTGTCTGTACCTGTATATTAGCCAGTATACCATCCTTCAGCGAAGTTCAGTATAACACACCAGCTTTGTGGGCACACAACACAGTGGCAACTGGTTACTAGTATACCATACTGAACGACGGTCGACCTGTCACACCTAACCTTTGCACATATAACTGTAGGCATTGTTTAAAGCTACATGTACTTGGTGGCAATAAGTTCCCCTCTACACTAGTTACAGCAAGGAGTTTGTCCTTGGTTATAGGAAGCCTAGTATTCTGTTTACCAGAGGAAAACATATTAGTATTGTTTTTGCTCTGTTTCCTCTTCTTCTGTTCCAAACACAAAAGGTCAATGTCCTGAACCAGACGTCTGTCACCATGGTAACTACTGTTGGGTTACATCATGTCGCAATTTTATAGCGGGAGGGATTTAGACTCCTGTCACCATATACATTTGTATATGAATGTGTTTGAGTAAGAATTAACAGAGCAGACCATATGCCAAGGTAAACATTATGCATTTGCTTTGCAAATGTTACCTTTCTAGTATAGTTTTACCTTTGCCACTCTGCCCTGGAGAACAGTGGAATCTGTGGGTACGGTCATGTCCTGTTCGTTCAGACAGGCCAGCAGCTTCTTCTCCACATCAGGGTCGATGTTGGTGACGTCGTCTGCCTTTGGGGTGGGGCCGGCGGCGTGGGGGTGGGGCGTGCTGCTGCGGGAGCTGGGCTTGGAGTCACTACTGGACCCTGCCACCAGGCCCTCTGGTCAAACATTCAGGTGTGGAGGGATTGGTGTGTTATTTTATATATTCATATTTCAGTCCATAATACCATGGTATGGATGAAATATATTGTGTTCTCTGATGTTTCTTCTTCTCCTCCTTCTCCTCCTGCCACACAGTCAAAGGGATTCAACTCCGCCATCATTCAGCCAAATGACTTGAAATTTGGCATGGAGGTAGAGTGAGCCAATACCCCCAGGAGGTTTTTTCATTTTTTTGATACATGCCTTTGAAAAAGTTTTATGAAGGTTTTTTGGGGCATTTTTCGCCAAAAAAATGGATTTTTGGATCCTGAGCCCTGGTTTTACAACCAAATGATCTGAAATTCGGTATAAGGGTACCTTGAACATGTGTCTACAGAATAGCAGTCACATATTTGGCATACACCACTTCCAAATGACTCATTTGGGGGACTTTAATGGCTATTTTCAGCAAAAAAAGGGCCAAAAGTGCTATACCCGTTCCATGTTCTATCTATAGAATGGCCTGTTCCATCTGCCATTGGCCATGGAACACGTGTTCCATTGCGGGTTACCTGAGGTCACATTGCACGTAAGTCGTGCGGAATGACCCACACATTCAATTTTATGTGCCTGAGACCTTCAAAATGTATCAAATCTCATCATTGTTAGTATTTGCATACCAGTAATAAGACTAGTAAAGCTTTCGAGATTCAATGTGCTTGTTCTTGCATCTTTGTTCTCAATTACATAGCTACTAATATAATTCATTTATTTGAGAATCTTTGCCAGTTTTACACTGGGGTAAGTTTGGAATAGTCCACTTTTGCGTGGGAGGGAGATGGACTGAAATATGCTGTATTTGCTCCCAAGCAAATGTCAGCCTCTCTAGTTTGGTTTACATGCCTTTTTCCAATGCATCATTACAGCATTTTTAGCCCGTTCATTTCTGTGAGCTACCAGTGCCTGAAAGTTGAAACTATCAATTTCATTATAGGTCCACATCTCATCACTGAGAATCCTGGCATGGCACAATTATATATATATATATATAAGTCAAGAGTAATGAAAGTAATGAGTCATAAAGAGTGTATCTTGTTGTTAACGATATGACCCATGTTGAGTGAAGTAGAGGCTGGCTTATACATTTATTGATGGTATGACACATTATTATGACAGCAGATCATCTAAAACTTGGCCAAACGACATGGGGGGGGGGGCACTTCTATCTTTTTTGAACCACTACGGTACTACCAAGACACCGACAAATTGTCATTTAACATAGACAAATATAGCTACAGTATTTCAGTGCATGGATGCAGAAAGGAGTCGCGTTTATGTAAGGAGGGTGATAAACAGGTAGCGCCTAGGAATTTTCAAGTTATCTTCATAAGGTAATATAAACAGAGGCATAACGTTTTGTTCTCACCGATATCTAGACCAAGTCCCTGTCGCCTGCGGCGCTGTAGCCGCTCTCTGAGACTCTCCTGGCTCTTCCTGTGAGCCTGGATACTACTCCACGTGTCCGACATATCTACTGAAGCCAACGCACGGACGAGATCCTGTCTATTGGGGCAAAAACTTAACAAAACTGTCGTTCCTTTGCAACTCAACAATTTTTTCACATGCAAGCCGCCATTTTGACTTGGACGGTACCACTATCTGGTGTGGGAGTTGTGGGTTTGCAGGAGGTTCAATTCTGCCTAACTCATAGATCTGTGGATCGATATTCAGCAGCATTACCTCCTATGTACTTCTGGGTGGGTCTGTCCCTGTTTCCAGATATTTGTGGTCCGCACATAACTTATGGTCTGGATGGATCGTGATATTTGGTATGTGGACAACTGTGAATCAGGTGTTTTTGCTGGTACCGCAGTAGTCTTTTATGTAGCACTACCAGCAAAAGCACCCGATTCAAGAGTCGCCACGGCTAGTATGTGGACAGGTCTTGGTCGACTTTGGGTCTTCTAGCAGCTTCCCTTAGCACTGCAGCAGAACATTTTGTGTGTGTATATTATGTCCTGGACTTCATCTATGGGTAGCAGGTTTGATTATATGTAAGTTTTCTCCTTGGGCCAGTACAAGTCATTTGTGTGTATACTAGTAAATTGTAGGTAACATGCTCAAATCCTGGTGAATATGCCCATCTCATCAATTTATACCAGAATTTTTCTTAATTGAATTGACTAATATTTGAGCTTGAAGAGACGTACTGTCCTTCTTATAGCTGGAGGCATATCCGTCATTCCATCTTTTACTTGCTTCAGAATTACTGGTACTGGTAGTTTTATTTTATGATGTACCTGTGTTAAAAGCTATTCTGGTATTAATACTATTATTCAATACACTGTATGAAAACTACCTGCCTAGTGTCATGCGTTTTATTCTTGAAAGGAAGGACTTGAAAATACACTAACACCAACAAAGATCAACGATTCAAAACAAACCATCTTTATTGCTTCCAGAAACTACACTCGGTTCAGAACAAATAGAATCCAAGGTTCTTGTTTGTGTTGATATTCTGCTAGTATCTCCGAGGTTAAATACAGACGTACAGGCACTTTTACCTGATCTACAGGGTTATGAACCAGGGCTTACATCAAAACTGGTGCATTATCTTTGTTCAAAGAATGTATTTCATCTATACTGGCTATCAGCTCATCTTTGCATGCTTTTGACCATGAGTTCCCTAATAATGTTAAATGATGTAAGCCCTGGTAACAAAAAAATCAAGAAAAAAAAATGTTGTGACAGGTACAAAAATGAAGCGATACAGTTTTACGTGAAAACACTGGCTCAATCATGGAATCACGGATACAGTAATACTCATTTCACTTCATAGAAACTGAAGACATGAACCATCATTATGATAAAATTGATTTCTGTCAACAGTTCTTCCCTCAACAATTCAATTGCACTCTCAGAAGTGTGCCACTTACACTTAGGTACATCCGCGATTAGTAGAATATACAAAGGACAAAAACCATAGTATACAAAATAAAGTTTGGCTTTCTGTTCAATATACATCAGTCTCACACTATGGAGATCTTGTAGTTGTCGCTCCTCTATTTACAATAAATACATCAAAATTTTCAAGTCCACCACAAAAATAGACCACTGTCACAACAACTGACACGGCATTCATGGGGCACATATTTACAGGGGGTTGTCTAGACGTCTACTGCTACTTTTGTAGCATGACTATGGCAATGATAGTATTTACATAGGATGTTACTTGGAAGTGCTTTAGAGCATCTAGTCCTAGCACACAAAATTATTGTAGGCTAGTATTTTCAATACTTTTCAATACTTCATAAGTCCTATGAACCAACACTAGGGTAATATTTGATATACATCAGGTGATCAAAAGATATAGACCATCTGTTCATGTACAATAACATAACTGAAGCCATGCTGTCAAAGAGTGCTACATGTGGAGGTGCTTTCTTCTGTACTGGCTACTGCTTGGCTCCAGTCATCTTCAGAGACACACCTGTCGCTAATTCTTCATGAGAACTTCAGTCACTGTGAAAGAGGAATAAAAAGAAAAACATAAGATACATGTATAAACATTGGTAACACAATGGGAATATATTCACTGATCATAGTTCACAAGTATTTGTTACGTGTTTCTAAGACTCTACTATCAAACACGACATTATATATAGCCAAAGGAGAATCATTTTGCAGTCTGGTGGTTCAAGGTGTGATCAGTGATATAATGAATTGCTCAACTTTGCAAAGTATAAAATGAATTGCTCAACTTTGCCAAGTATATGTAATTAAAACCATGGTAGTTACAAATTCTCATAATATAAGTCATATATTCTGCACAGATGTAAATCAATAATCCAAACACAATTTTACAAGAAACACACAGCAAAGAGAAAAATATCTACTGGCGGTGTGCTGGTCAGAGGTTCTTATTTGAACTGGCTTTCCTGTGGCTACTGAAGCTTAACACAATTTACCATAAATGGAAGGAACTGAACAGGATACGGAATGGAATCTACACTATCTGTGCCAATTTGCTAACTACATGATATAAATATTGAAGGCTGGTGAAGAGTGGGGCTGCAACACTTGGTGATGCTCTGCCATTATCATACAAAGTACCAAGGTGAGTAAAAGCAGAATACGCTAAAGACATGTACTAGTAACACATTTTTGTACCATCTTCTATTGTGTATCCAGGCTGTATGGACTGAGACAATGCGGTGCCATCTACTGTTTGTAACGCAGAGATGATGTCATGAAGTCTGGTCTCCTCGTCCTGGGGTTCTTGCTGCTGTTGCAGAGGTTCCACTATTGGGGCTGGAGGGGGAAGCAAGTGGTAAGTAAGCAAGGGGCACATGGCAGCCAGGGATTGTCTGTAGTAGTAAACTAACCCCTAGCAGACATGTGAGAACTACAACACTTATGCAGGGATGCCCCCAGTACAGTAAATTGACTACTGTAGTTGAATAGGTTAACATGAAAAACTCAAGTTGTCAGCTTTAGCATTTGCAAAATCTGTTTTGGACTTAAATGTAAGTGAAAGGCAATGTCTACACAATTTTGAACAAATAACCTGGGAGCATTCCATAGCTATAATAACATTAGTATTATGGTCAGGTTTGAGGCGTTTCTGCCTGTAAAGAAGCGAGATAAAGTCATTATCAATACATCTTTCCAGACAACTTTCAGGTAGCAACCAGCTTACAAATATTTCAGATATTTTGCTGGTAAATAAACAGACATCCAGGTAATGAGAAACATACAATTTGTTACTCAAGCAACTGGATAGATCTTGAAAATGAACTAGAAAATCCATCCAGTTGCTTGAGTAACAATTCCTTGTGTAAGTAATTGTAAAGATGTTTCAGCAAAAGCTGTTTTAAGGACCCCTATTCAACTGTGACCCTGAAACTTGACAAAAGCTGATCAAACCTGACTTGTCTTGTTACAATCATTCAATTGAAAATGTTTTTATTAAATGGGAAAAAATTGTTCATTAAAGTCGTGAGAGATACTATATTGTACAAACAAAATTCATAGATACGTCGATGAAGGTTACACATCCAGGTAATACAATACGCCAAAATTCATAGAAGTCAATGGAGTCTTGCCGCTATACAAGCCACAAAAAGATTGTAGTATTCAACGACAAGTGCCTTAAACTAATTTGTAAAATACACAATGGCAAGTGAATGTTGGCTGTCTATCTCGGCAAGTTTTACCAAAAAAATATTTGTTAGTGGGAGAGAAAACTACGATTAGATATCAAGTATGTATGAAACTTCTGCCTGAGTGCCAGCTAAGACTACAGCATACGCCATCTGTAAAATGACTCCCACAATAAAAGACTGCTATCATCAGTACTGCACTAAGTGAATAGCAATGTTTAAAACCCTCAAGATTCTACCATCCAGACACGTGTCAGTTTATTTCTGTTGGGCTATATTACACAACGCCCTTGTTTGTTGTGTGAGGGAGAACTCACCTAGAGAAAAGTCACAAAGCCACTGCCAGTTTTCTGCGGCTCTATCTGCTGTGGCCACAGGCATCAGGCTTGAATTACGGTAGTCACGAGACAACTCACCCAGATCAAAGACCCCCTGAGCACTCTGCTGGGTTGTCTCCTCTGCGTTGGCTGGGGGAAGGAGCATGGTCATGTCCTCTTGGCTCAGCCCAGGGTGGGTCACGACGCTGCCGATCGGAGCCACGGTCACGGGGAGTGTTGTTGTTGTGTTGGGAGGCTCGCGAACAGCCTGCTCTGCCATAGCTGTCAAGACAAATACATAAAGATGTCACAAATCACAAGTAGCTGTTGTGCTGGTGTAAAGCACATAGTGGCGATGCATATGCACAATGATTTTCAGGACTATCAAAAATTATCATTATCATACTGATGGTTGTAACTAACTTGTCTTATTTCCAACCACATTAAAGTTTTACACCAAATGTTTGAATAGACTTTGTTGAATACAATTCAATGTGACCAAAGTCTGAAAAAAACAACAGTTTGCTCACCTCGGAGTTGTTGTTCAAAAGAGCAGGACTCAGGCTGCTGAAGGCCTGTCTCAGTTTTGAGCGACAGAACAACTGTGGAGAGGTGGGAAAGGACATATTAGGCAGTGGTCAACAACTGTGTGCCTGTGTGGAGTGTGTTTAGTGAATGCCTGCGCAGCCCTCTACCACCAGCCCACCTCTGCATGGGCATTACATAACCTCACGTTAGCCCTACATCTGGGTCAAACGTATGGCTCACATGCAACATACAGGTATGCAGTATCGCTCTATCCTGTTTTCTCTCTTTTGTTCTCATTGTTCTTGTACAACTCAAAAGGACTTGCTCTTGTGGAAACGTAAAACAAGGCATTCCCAGAACAGCAGTCCTCATGCTTGTGGAAAATTATTTAAAAAATCAAAAGGGTTCTTAATCATAGATATAAAATACGCCAAAAATGGAAACCGCCTCATGCAAGCAGTAATGGGCCACGACGGAAGACTACAGAAACTCTTTGTGTCAGTGTGGAGACATGCAGGGTCGCTTCCCCCACGAACGCGCCGATTGTAACTCCCACAGCAAGCTGGAAAACAAAGGGTGAGGTGCAACCTGGTGCAAAGTAAACGGGGGCAGCAGCATTCCGTTCCCTGAAATGTAAGTGTGGTGAGGTGCAGGGAACCTTGTTTGACGAACTGTAAGGAGAGAAATACACTAACTACCACAGATTTCCCTCCCAGCTACTTCCCCCTTACAACCCAAAACCTGACATTTCTTTTGCACACAACGGCCCACATGTAATTTTCTACGACAGTGTTAGTGCAGCAAGCAAGATGAGGTATCTGAAAATGTCCTTACAGTTCATTAAACAAGATTTCAAGTGCATGTTAAAACAACACTCCTGCATCTACTATCAGTACTGGAAAAAAGTAAAGGTCTACATGGAATTTTGGACTTGCATTTCATCTCAATCTTTTCACTTGCATACTTGAACAATCATTCTTTTTTTGCAAGGCAGTTTTTTTTTTGGTTGTTCTTCTTGTTCTATTGACCAGACCTTAAAAGAGCCTTACATCATAGCCAAAGGGAAGTCAAATCAAAATCAAACCAGAATCATTCCAGAGGAAAGGAATTACCTCAAAATGAAGCAAACTAAATGTATTGTCTATCCCACACTGATCCTCACTACAGTGTGAAATCTTTCCCAGGTGATACAACAAGTAGAGCAAGTGTCATTGTCTCCCAAAGAGCTGCCATTACAATAGAACTTCTTGCCTGACCTAGCTGAAAGAGAAACAGAGGGCTGCTGCGCTGCTAGTTCCCCATACACACGGTCATCGTCTTCTTGCGTCAACACAGCCCCTTCAACCTACAAAACAGCACCCAATGGCGGCGGGAAGTGACACTTGCCCACAGAATCATCCTGGAAAGGATTTCCCTGTGCCTCCATTGTATAAGTCTACTGGCCTGGGTCACATGACCTTAGCTAGCCCTGGCTAACCTTATCGGGGGACTACACCTTCGAACATGAAGGCAAAAAAATGTTCCTCGCTTGCTAAGCTGACACGACATGTATGTATGTTACAGCAATACAAGGAAGGCACCGGTACTGTAGTGACTCAATAAGGAAAAAATGAAACACTAACTGTTCACCCGCTTTTACGTGTTTACCGACACACGAGGGTTAACAGGAACGTTTCCCCTGTTAACGTGTCTACGAACGTCTGAGTGACATGAGACCTCGTTGGTAGTCTATGGAGAAAGGGAACAGGTGGTGAACTGAACCCACCCCACACATGCAAAAAACCCTGGGGCCCACCATTTCCCCTCCCTTGAGTCCCCTGGGTTAGACTTAGGACAAGCCAAAAGGCATGGGACAGAACAATGAACATGTGGGGCCCCAATGGCATGGCACTGGAGCAGTTTTTCTCTTGGTGTAAGCACTTCATTTTCACAAAACTATGTGATTTCTGGGTAAACTGTGTCTTTCTGAACAACAGTTTGGAATATTTTGTTTTGCAGATGCATGTCAAAGAAGCCAAAAAAGAAATTTTCAAAACCGTCACGATTTAATTTTTCTTTCATCAAGTCATGATATTTTTAATATTTTCCCCATCATGAGTTTTCTGCCCTGAAATTTTCCATGTAGATACATGTAGTGTTTGTAAGATCAGAATTTCTGGTTGTAGCTGCTTCTCAAGCAGACAGGTTTGCCAATTATCAAATCCAATGCAGGTGCCAAAATGGTAACTGCAATCTCGACCATTGTTCGTGACCCCACTACGTGCTCGTAGGTTAGGTTTGCAAAACAAATTTCTCCGCATGCCATGCCATGAACACTGGAAACAACATGGTCACAAGAAAGGTGAACATGCAAGTCTGGTTGCAGCTCAGTTCAGCTGCATTTAGTTTCTATTTTATCTCTATGTATATAAGTTTTCAAAATGTTAAAATAATGCTTTTACATTTTGATACATCTGGCAAACAATTCATTTCTGCAAGTTCACCTTCCTTAGAACATGCAACAATGTTGGGCAGGTATGTTACAACATGCATGCCCATATCAGCAATAATAGACACGCATGAATAGACTCCATAAGTGACAAAAAAGTCCAAAATGGGAATATCTTCATTCTTCAGTATTGTATTAACATTTGAAATGAAAGCTGTCATTGGCATCCAGAATTAGGAATTGCAGGAGTCTGTTCATTCGTATTGCAGCACAAGTGACATGAAATACATATTATTTAGATGTCTTCTACCAGAGGGGGATATGTCTGATTCCTACCACTAACTCATCATCAATGATTTGTACTTTTGGTTTGTCGGGTATTGAACGAATGCAGATTTTCCTTACAGGCATCTCTGCTGAACATGTTTGGGAATTGACAGTGATTATTTGTTAATTTGGCCCAAGTTGCAGGAAAGAAAAGCTTCCTGCAACTTTCCCCTTGGTCACCCACAAGTGGACGGTATTTCCAGTTCCGAGGCTTCTTGTCCCTTCCCCTTTGTCTATAACATCCCTACAAATAGCCTGAGGAAATGGGACATACAAAACTGCAGTTATGCAGCCGGGTACCAAAAAGATTATTCATTGGAAAACAGCACAGGTTTGGGCCACACCAATTTGATTTCCTGTTCTTCAGGCTTGGTAGATTTCTAACTAAATTTCATTTCTTCTAACTTGATACTTAGTAGGTCAGGAAACTGAATGCAAAAAGCTCCCTTACTAAATTTTATCTTATCGAGAAAATTTAACTTGCCATTTTCTTTATTTTAAGGTAAATAGACATGAAATTTCCAGAATTTTAAGAATCACAAAAGTACAGGACCAGAACCATGTCAATTTCACTGATATAAAAACATTTTGTTATGCAATAAGCCATCCAAAGAAAAAAAAATTGTTTGCCCATTTGCAAACTGCCTGATGAACAAGTGATCAAACTGGTGCCGCCCTTTTTGAAGCCTTTTCAGAAATGGAATACCAGGGACCAGAGGGTTGGTTCATCCCCCAAATGGTAGAAGACACCTTCATGTTGTGGAAAACCCTCCACCGCCAGCTCCTTCAAAACTGTCCCCAAGGCATCCCACAGTCAAGATACCAACGGAGATTCCTCAAACACTACTGAATCTCCTTCATATGCAACAAATTTAGATGCTTGAATCACTGTTGTACTTTTATAAAGATCACCGATGTGATTGGGAAAAAAAAGGAAAAGTGTTTTTGCTCGAGACTCATCTGTTTCTAAAATGTCACAACAGTAACAAGTGTCTGGTCAAAACTGGTGTGAAAACAAGAGCTTTGAGGCAAGAGGCCCAAAAAGGTAGGATATAAAATACAAAATCGAAGAAACACAGGAATTAACGGTAACTGTGTTAATGGTATAATTAGTGAACAAATAGTGAACAGTTTTGGAGATGAGTCTTGAGCCACTGGTGTCATTTCTCTGGAACATGCCAAACTCTTTCAATGTTGACCAAAACACCAGCGAAGAGAGCGCGTATCTTGTCTGTGGGAGGGCACAAGGGGAGATGAAAACTTGCGAGGATATGGAAATGTAGTTACCAGGTGGCTTCACGGTGGGCAGGGGCGTGTAGCTGAAGGTGTGGGGCTCACTGGTCTTGCCACCAGCGCACACCACAACCTGAACAGCCTTCGCCTCTTTCACATCCTCCGTTTGGTACGGGGGAACCGTACAGATCAGATGGGTCTGGAAGAGAGCAAAAAAGAACAGCGTATTCATTTACTGCCCATAGGATGACATACAGCAAGGAGACAAGGTTCAGGTAATACTGCTTGTTTGAACAAGCAGTGATAAAGACACAGTTTGGAAAATCTCAGTGACTTTCCCAAGAAGCACAGCTAGACTTAATGCTGAGTTCATGTTCATGCAACTTCAATTGACTCAGAACATGGTTCTTCTAACATTGTTAAGTTACATCTGTCTTCGCAAATTGGACACAAACCGTGTTACATATACATTCTACCATCTGCATCAAATGTATCCCTCTTTCAAGCTACATTACTCTAATGGGGAAGGAAAGTTTTATGTTCTTTTGCTACAGCAGGACAGCTCATGAAATTAATTTTCACATTATCATACCAGCAGCAAATTGTACTTTATTGATTTCTTTGCTCACCTGGTGGAAATATTCCTTGTCAATTTCTGCCTCTGCCTCCCAAATCAACTGGCAATCTAAACGGGGAAAAAAATTATCAACTGAACATAATGGACAGGCAACTTTAAAAGTTTGTAAGTGACAAGAATCCTAATGCTCTGCAATACTTATGTGGAACAGTGGTTTAAGATACTAGTGTTAGGCCTAAGCAAAAAACAAGGGATATTCCAACATTCCATTTACAACATTCCAGTCTCTGCGATATTCCTGTAACTACAGTTCTTTTTGAGGCATGTAAAGTACAACAAGTACCTTCAGAAATTTCCTGAAACTTGACTTGTGTCCCCTTGATGAAATTCTTCCCGATGATGAACATTTCTTCCCCGCCGGCAACAGTGCAGGATGACAGGCTCTTCTTCAGGATTTCTGGCTGACCAGTGGGCTGAGCTGCTCAAGAGATGAGAAAAAAATCCATCAGCACTAGTTGTGGTAGTTAGTCAGAGCAATACCAAGTGAGGTAACATTACTTCTTGTTAATTTTTAAGTAAATGGGCTTTGTGTATCTTTAAAAGCAATGGATGAAGGAAAACCCAAGCCCCAAAAAGCAAACTTGACAGTCGGACAAAGGAACAATAAACAAAACATCACAGTGGTGGAAAACAGATACTGGGTATCATTGCAGAGATGTAACAAAACATAACAAAAGAAAACACTGGTTTGGCCTCAAAGACAAGTGCTATAGTGAATAGAATATGTTCTACAATTTCTAGAATATAGAAATTCTTTTACACAAAGAACAGGTAAAAAAATACACAAAGCATAAAAATGTTGGACACAAAAGTGAAATACTTAACATATTCCATTTGACTTTGTGAAATTTGAGACAGCGAATACAGTATTTTGAGTGATACAAATATGTACTACTTCCAGTGATAAAAATCAGAATGCTCAAAATTATGAAGGAAAATGCTCAACTTAAGAAGGAAAAACGCCTTGTGTGTAAAAAAAGCAAATTGAGACAGAAATAATCTGACAAATGAGATTTGAAAAAACAACACTTAAAAACAAACTAGCTGAAAAACACAACAAATTGAAGGTCATGGTTAGTGTTGAATGTCACACTCTCCATTGCCTAACTGTGAACAAACCAAACATTTTGCAGCATTCTTTTCGAAAACGCAATGCTATATTTATGAGGGAACTGCATTTCTTCTAATAATATGTTGAACCCACTTTTGAATAGCTGTTTGTTACATAAATAATTTTTGTACAGATTAGCACTAGAACCAATTCATTTACATGCCTGGTACAAGTATTGCATTGGATATTTCTAATGCACCACGTCCTTCAGATCATCCCAAGGTTACAGAAACTATGTGGAGGGCAGGAGTGTGTCACCAGGGGCAGAGAAACAGGTGGCAGACTGCAAAGTCCTGGGACAAAATTACAACCTTGCCTGCAGGGCAGCTGTGGCATGACCATATTTGGTAAGGCACTTGTGTACTTAGATACGCAGGCCAGAGAACATGTTTAAACATCAGAGGGGCCACCAAGGGGGATTTGCAGATTGACCTGAATACTTCTTGGTTCATTAGACCATCAACTTTCACTTCTGTAATGTTATATAATGTTAATTTCACCATTGAAGGCTGGGACCACAGATGCCACTTGTAACTAGTTGTCTGCTTTTGTGTACCTTTACTCAGGTATGTCACAAAGCTGCTCAAAGAACAAGATTTATACCATGAACAACCTGTGAAAATCTCTTGGGATTACTACTAAGTATACCTTATCTGGTGGTATGTGGTTGAGTTGGTATGTACTAACACAGTACAGCCTGACTGAACCAATGTAAAGGGCTTGACTGACAGGGGGTAACATGATGCATTGTAAATAGCAGTGGGCCATTTTAAATTCTAAAGGCCACCCACAGAAGGTCAAGGCATCTAGGGCCTCCCTAGGATGAAGGATCAGGAGATACTCACTGCAAATGATGGGGGTGGAGTGGCACTGCAGTGTCAGCAGGGATCCGTCTTCCCGGGGAACGTGGACGCGGAATACCAGCCGGCAACGCGTGCTTCTTCTCTTGGAGCGCGCCAGCCCAATCCTGGCCTCCACGTCCGCATTTCTCAGCTTCAGGATTCCAACGCAATCCAAACTATTAAGGGGAAAAACTTATTATTTTTCTAAGAAACATGGACTACGTGCTTGTTGGACATGACAATGTAACACCAATGTCTCACTGGCAAAACACCACATACCAAATATTTACATCAAGAAAATATTTGTAGCAAACACAAGATAATACAGCAATTGCCAAGTTCTTTGCAAGAAATTATGTCTTGTTTTCAATGCTTGGCCAAAACAAGTCTTCTTTTGGATGTAGCTGTTAATAGAAACACATGTGCAGAATGTCACATGCCCATATGGTGGATGGCGCTTCCGCCTTTTAATGTTCCAGCAGCATCAACTGCCATGTCCTGAATTCACAACATGCTGATGACGCACAAGAACAAATAGCAAAGTCCACTAATCTACACTTCATCTTTGTAAGCTTCGTGGGATGATGAAATTCTGAGCTGTTCTTGCTACTGAAAGTTTTCTCAATAACCAGCAAAGGGCTGTTTTTACACACCTCTGGGTCATGTTGTTTGTTGGATCCAGTGGCACTTCGATGACTGTGGTCCCTTCAATGTCCCTCTCTGTGCAGGGGGTGGTGTTACGGCCGGTAACCTTGCAGGCCTGGTAGAAACCGTGAGGCTTGATTTTCCCAGTGTCTGTTCCCACAAACACTTGAAGAGTGGCTGACTTGTTGCAGCCTTCAAGCTGTGGAGGAAATGAATACATGCTTTCAAACCCAGCCATTCACTGAACTCACACGGACTTAACTGTCCACTTACTGGTAACTTACTTCAAACTGTCAACTGACTATACAAAACCTTACCTCTATAATCACTTTCTTTTATGTCTGTGACTATTGACAATAGCTTTCAAGACACACCTCAAATCGGCAATGTCTAGAGTTACACAGTAATTGACAGCTTTTGTTGTGCCAAGAGCTACACAAACAATAGACATACTGTTCTAGTTGACTTGAAATTTGGGTCTGTTCCATAGCCAGCTAGCTACATGTATTTCGTTATAGACACTTCAAAGCACCTTCATTGCTGTGTGATGAGCAACTACATTTCTGTACACGTATACATTCAACTCAAATACTTTGTTGCTCTTTTCTCTTTCTCAGAGTTACTTGACTATCTTGAATTTAACTAAAAGAAGCCCAGTGCTGTGAGGTGAGTTGACAAGCAACCTACCTTCACAGTAGGGAATCCATGACCAGACTCGTCCTTGACTGACCCCCGACTACCTTCCGTCATGTAGCGAGCCCTGTGGTGTACTTCTGGCTGCTTCAGGATCTTCAGCTGCACGCTGCCGTGCTTGCTGGTCAAGTTTGGCATGTTCAGGCTCGGTTCCTTGGCCTGCCTCCTGGGGACAGGGCAGGAGTTGACGTGTGCGAGTTCCACCACATGGCATGGCACGGTGTTTGTTGGCACCAATGTTAGCAGGGTGGGCGGGGCTGACAATGCACTGTAAAACAACAGGTGGTGATGAAGACTGGTTAGTGGCCATGCAGCAGATCTGGTCTTCTAGTCTTTAACCTTGTCACGCATGTTACAGTGAACACATATACATGATACAAAACTGTTCACTTTACATTTGGAAAGACTCTGGAAGTTGAATAATCTAATCAAGTGGACTTTTTTTCAACCATTTGTACAATGATAAAAAGTGAAGTTCATGATAATCCAAAGAACATGCTTCCATCTTTACCATGCTATTTCTGAAAACATTTACCTTTGTAACTTTCATTGATATTCAAACTCCAGTGTCTTTAAAAATATAAAGCAACCAGTGCTAAAACCTTCATATTCTACTCAAAGACATTCTTTCTTAATCTACCTACAACAACTACGGGTATCTACCTCTGCATGTCTCCTGGTGCCCCCTGATGCGAGTCTCTCGCCTTGATGCTGACAATGTCAGCACCAAACTTCTTGAACTCAAACTGTGGCTGACAGCTGCTGCCATCAGCGTCAAACAGTCGCTCCATGTTGATTTTCTGCTTTGGGCTGGAGGGGCTCTGCTTGGCCGAAACTTTGCGGGACTTCCGCTGGCCGTTAGCGGTGATGGAGCGTGCAACTCCGCCGCCACTGCCGGTGCTCGAGGACGAATCGTCGTCCTCCATCCATCCGGAGCTGTCGTCGCCGCCGCGAAGGTTCATCTTCCTGGTGCCAACCAGCAGGCTGCTGGTCGTGGTCATCTCGCTGGGCGACATCACGTTGCTGGAGTCCGACACGCTGACCAGCGGCGACCCACCCGGGCTGGACGACGGCGACAACTGCTGCCGCTGCTGTGTAGCCAACTCACTTTGCCCCAAGGGGGAGAGAGAGGATGGGCTTAGGACACCACTTACCATGGTATTACTTACCCCTTGCATTGACGTATTAATGCTTAGAGCTGATTCATACGTAGGGGTACTGGTAGAAGTGGTTGTGGTGATGCTGGGCGGCCCCATGCTCAGGTTCAGGGGATCTGAATCGTACAACAAGAGCCATGCATGAATGTAAGACCTCAGGACACCTCGGCAATGGGCCTTCATCATAACGTAAAATATCGCTGTGGAGAGGGGGTTAGACTTTGGACAAAACTGCTGGTGAACATGTTCACATACAGGTCATCAAAATGTCCAGCACAGTTTG